GGAGGGTTTCAGCAGGCAGGGCCCTTCAACAGGGGAAAGGGGAGAAAACAAAGCCTTGGGGGATTTAGAGGCGACTGCAGGATAGTGAAGCTGAGACCAGGCTAGATATTAGCTAGAAGGAAGAAATCCCTCTCCTGGCCACCCGTCCCCTCTGGGAGGCCAGCACCTCTCCCGCAGCAACATCTCCTCTCCCACCTCAGCACACCCAGGCCCACAGGGAGTTTGGTTTGTTTTTACCTCCAACTACCCTCGTTCATTGAGCTCTCACCTACCTTTCAAGCCTGAAGATCACCCAGGGAAAAAGCCAACACTGCTTCTTCTTCTTCTTCCTCCTCACCCCACAGCAGCTCTGGGACTCACATGGAGACCCCCAAGCCAACCGTGAGCACTGGGGAGAGGAAAACTCAGGAGCAGCAGCAGCTGTGGCTAATAAACTACCTCAAGTGAACAAGGGCAGCCAGCTGGGGTGGGTGACAGGGCTCAGAAAATGCAGGCCAGGTGCTTCCCCTCAGGGCAGACAGGGCAGCCCTGCAGCCCAGGGTGCTGAATGGAACATGGTAACGTAGCCTCGAACGGAGCAGCTGCCACCATCTGACCCGGCCTCTGCACCTCACGTCTCTGCCTGGGGGTATTTAAGCAGGGGGGCTGCTATCAGCCCCCAGGTGACACTTTTGACTCTCCCACAGCACCAAAAATACCCATAGATATGACTTTTGAAACACAAAAACCAATAGCAATGCTGGGGTGAGGAAAAGCACCCTCTTCTGGGGTGCTGTCCAACAGCAAAAGTCAGTCACAGAAAATTAATTCTAATTTAGAAGGAGAATTTTATACTACAGATGAGTCTCTTCAGATGCATTGGCAGCAGGGAAAATCACTCCCCACAGATGTCAGATATCCTCCAGTTAAAGGAGTGTGTGGTTACATCCTTTAATTAAAATGGATTTTATAAAGAAAAATGAAGTTCCTAGAGACAGGATGACAATTTATGGCACTCACTGGCTAAATCAATGCTTGGAAATCTGCAGCTCCCCAGGCCGTGTCCATATTGCTTGGCATGTGTACAAATATTGCACACATAAATACTGTGCAGCCCTGGCTGCCCAGCTCCTGCTCCCAGTGTCACTTCTTCCAGACCTGGGTGATGTTGGGCAGCTTTCTTAATTTTGCTTCCCTTCTCTTGTCTGCAATGAAGAGATAATACTTCTCAGCTCTGTGGTGGTGCCACACTTGATTCATGAATGTTTTAACACGTTCTGTGATATTCATCCTGAAAGGTGCTTGAGAACTATAAATTATTACTTTAATATAGGTAATAGTTTTAATCTCATGAAAGTTTTACAGCACCAGTCCAAATTCATGCCTGACCTCTAATAACTTGAGCAGAGCTTAAACTAGGGATATATTTAGTACAATATATGAGATGGCAAAATGAAATTCAAAGTGTGAGACCGAGGGCTTACCAAGTGGCATTGCATGTACAGCAATGTCAGAAACCTACCCCACAGCCTTCTTAACTATGGCAAAAAGATCAGCTCATGCCACTTCTTAACCTGTTAATGTTTGATTCATCATGAAATATCTGCCTCATGTGAAAAACATGTATGTTTGTTTCTATTATGTTCTATTGCTATACATGCATAGTTTATATTTATTGAAAAATTAGCAGAAATGGTAATGTATTTCCTATCTGGTTTGACTCAGGTATTCCAGTTGAACACAGATTATTTTTCACTGGAACAATCCTTCCAATAAGACACTCCTGCAACTTTCCAGGCCTTAGTCATGGGAGTACAGGACAAAGGACTGGGAGGGATCCTCTGAGCCCCAGTCCACTCCCCAAAAGAAATCACATCATAAACAGCCATGTAGAAAGCTTGTTAAAAGCCATTTTAAATAGTTAGGCTTTTTTTCCCCCTGCCCCCAAAAATACTGTCCTTACACTTCACTGCTGGGATAGTTAGAAAGGGTCTTTTAATTCTCAGCCCCAATCTATTCATGGCCAGTTTAGATCTCTTTGTTGGCATGCCAGCCTTTCTCTACAGCTGAAACAACACTCCTCCAGTGTCACTGAAAGCACTCTCCTTTATGAACATGCGAAGAATAATTATATTCCTACTCAATCTTCATTTTGTTAACCTAAGCAAGTAAAACTCTTTAAATCTCCCTGTAAAATGTGTTCTTTATTCCTCTGATCACTTGGGTGGCCCATTTCTGATGAATTTGGTGTAAATGTTTACAAAGCAAGAGAATCAGAAGAAGAGGAACCTATTCGTTTTCTAATTAATCAGAAATGTTACAAATGCAGCAGAAAGAAAGCACAATTTAGTAAAAATTAAATATTGGTGTTTGCTGGCAAAATTGATTATGAAGAAGTGGATGTTACCATCAATCTTTCAGTTTGATGGTAGAAATTCATCAGGGGACTTTGAAGAGTACACTGCTGGTATCTAACTCTTGAAGGCCTGTTGCTGAGCAGGTCTTCCTTATATAAACCACATAATAAATTACTAGTGATGTGATAAGCAGCTTTGAAAAGAAAAAATATTTGCCAGACATCTGCTACTTCATACTTGAGTGGAACCTTGGAGAAATGCAGATCTTTTTTGGTTCATGTCTCCTTCCCCTCTGTGACTGATTCTCAGTCTTGCTGGTTTTCCCAGAGTTTATCCTCTTTCCCCTGCAACACGTCTGGTCAAGAAATTGTCTTTCCAGTTGGTCTCCAGCTTTTCTACTCTTCACTGTCTCCAGTGAGTGATCTTGGCTGTCCTGGTTCTCATAGTCCTTCTTCATTCTCTCCTTTTCCCATTCTTCTTTATTGAAGAAAATTTTCATGGAACGTAATGGTAAACTTGATAAGCATCCAAATCTTAGGTGATAACATACCCTGTTGATACCTTCTTGCAGACACAGAAGCGAATCTTTCCTATGAAGTTTTTAGGTTTATAGTGATTCCTATAGAACCTCTGCTTTCCCCCCTCCTGTCCCCCCCAGGTGGTGTAGGACTTCCCTTGATGTTTATCTGTTCTGATCACAGAACAGATCATTGAAGATACAGCTGACCCAGAGGCTTTAACAATCTTTCTGCTGGATCAGCCAAATACGCAACTTGTTGCAAAAGTGCAGCAGCTGTTACTGATGCAAGTTCCTAGAATGAGAGATGTGTAAATGCAAAAAAGTGAAATGTATTCAAGATTTTCTTTTCTGTTACCTGGAGTTGATCATAAAGAAATGTAATATTAGAAATAATTCGGATAAGAACTAATTAGGCACCCACCTTTATTTTTTCCCCAACAGAAATGAGTAAGAATAGTCACTAAATCATAAACAAAAATAAAGGTCCTTTTAAGACTTAAAGATCAGTATTATGTAGAAGTATAGAAGTGGAGATAATGCAGATACTGTAGAGCCACCTCTAATGGAAATCAAAAGTGTACAGCTGGTATAAATGCAATTTCCAATCAAGTGCTGAGGTTTACCAAATTAAGCAAGTAATTTCTGTGCATGGAAGGAGACCGGGACAATCAATTCAGAGAGTTAAAATCCCACATGATCAAGTCCCTCATGAGGTACCTCTGCAGTTTGGGTTGAGCATATGCAGAATTAGTCTGGGAAAGCATCATTGCCAGATTCTAAATAGTGCCCATATTTGCATATTCTGCTAGGCACAGTCGGGCAAGCAATCACTCATCTGTCTCCCATGTTACTCATGTAAATTGGTATTTCAGTGCAAAATTGTAAGGTCCTGGGCAAATGAATAAACACACCTATTATACAGCCAGTCAGTGTTAGGTCACAGCTTAAATGTTTGACCTGTCACAAGAATGGCTTTTTATTTCAATAGCTTCAGTATTTTCTTGCAACTTTGTGATACGAAAATCAAGTACCAAACAGGGGTGAATCTGAACTCTTCTGCTGTAGTAACTTTAGAGACAATCCAACTATTGGAGTAGGTAAATGCTACTAATTAACAAATGAGAAGGAGTAAATACTTTTTTTTGCCAGCTGTAGTCCATGCTAGCATCCTAAATTAGAAAGTTCAAATGTATCTGAGCAAAAATGTTGAACATTCAACAATGCAAAGAGGGAGAACAGAACAGAGAGAAGGAGAACAGAGAGGATGAAAGTAAAACTGAAATAGCTCCAGATGAAAGTAAGAGACAGAAGGAAAACATGTTTTCACGTTACTGAAGATAAAGTAAATGCAGGTCACACCATCAGACATCCATCCAGCTCAGTTTAGGTCTTGATCCTCCAATCAGAGATAGATTGCAGAGAGGAGACTTTTATTTATGAGACTGTTTTGCTGTTTTGTCTTTTTAATCCCTAATACATGCAATATCCTGCAATGCAGAGATTTCATTTAGGTAGCAGAAAACCAAAGCATTGGTGCCATCACAATAAAAAACTGTATTATGTGTCTTCACAAAGTCAAAACTCATGTGAGAAGTTAAAACATTCACCAGGCTCCATCCACTGTCATTCACATGTCTCTGTATTGCAGAGAAGTGTTTTCTGTCTCAGCAGGTTATTGTTTAATGGGCTAATGCACATTTGCTAGATGAAATGGTACTGTGCAAGTTCCATGGGGAGGAATGTTACTGGTGAAAAAAACAACTACCTCCAAATACTAAAACAGCCCTGCTTAGTCTCCTGGTGGTAGAAAAAGCCAACTTCACCAGTTGATTTGAAGCGAGATACAACAGGCCTTGCATACTTTAGCCCTATAAGCAATAGTATGCAAAAATTGCTATTTGAAAATCACCTTGCTGCTTTATTTTTGTGCAATTTGTAAAACTGTAATATAATTTTACCCCAAACAAGTGACTAAAGTTTTGGGTTTTTTTATTTTATACCCAGAGTAATTTGTACATCATCTAATTGCAACCTCTTACTCTCACAATCAAAAATAAAGCACATGGTATTGTGAAAATGTGTTTTATTTCTTTATGTTCTGCATCCCAACAACATTCTGTGACCCCAGGTTTTTTTGTTGCTAGCTGGTGAATGAGCAACAAGAAAGCAGACCCCTTCTGAGCCCCTCCATTGATGACTTTCTCTGTGAAACTAAACCAGAAGCTGTTGCAAGGCCTGTAACATCAAATACTGCAGGTAAACAAAATTCTTTACTATCCCTAACTAGAGAGAAATCATTTCAGTTTTACCTTAACTAAGAAATGTTTTTGCCAAGTGAGTTCTCAATCTGCTACTATTTGCACAAAATTACAAGCTGTTATTAAATAATAATTGCCTGATCTCTTAGTAGAAAAAACTTCCTTTTTTATTGCATTTGAGGGCAAATCTTCTTTTATAAAACTTAATAAAAATGGGGAGTCAGGGAGAAGGGAAGAGAGATCAAAACAATTTATCCAGGCTGAGTTCAGACACTTTGTTAGTGAAAGAATCTAACATTTCTGAGCTCCTTTGCATTGTGGTGAGATAGTAGAGCAGATAGAGATAGGTAGATAAGAAAAATTATGGGGGAATCCTGAAAGTCTTCTGAATTGTACTGAATGATACTGGAAGTATATTGTCCTTTGGAAATATTTTTAGAAATTGGCCTCCTCCTATACAGTATTTTTACAAAGGTAATCAAAGCAGCTGAGGGGATCCAGTGAGATACAACATAACCAGCAGAGCACTACTATGTTCTACTGCTGTCTCATAAAAATATTAGCTTGTTAGAAGCTATTTAATTATAATCTATATATGCAAATTATTAAAATGAATAATTGACAGCTGAGTGATTATCTTCACATCTAATTAATATGTCTAAAGCAATATGCAAGTTGTACTAACAAAAACTGGAACACTTTATTAAATAACAATTGTAGATAATATTTTTCCTTGTAAGGGTATCATATAAATTAATGGAAATATTTCAGGTTGTTTAGCAGTTGTGGATTTTGTACAAAAGTATCTGTAAATCCTGTATCTGCCTTGAATATCTATCAGATTTGGGTGGGTTAATTAAATTTCAGAAAAAAAAGAAAAGATAAATTCTTGTAATATGAAGACTGATTAAATTCAGCAGTTTACTAAGAACAGATCAAGCACTGCAAGAGATAATACAAATTGATCTGCCAAAAATACCTGCCCTGTGAAATGCTGATAAAGAGACAGTTTTTCTTTTATGTGCTGAAGAATTTTAACATTACTCACTAAGCAACTTTTAAATTAAGAACTCAGACCTAAATATGCAGTAGAATTTATAATTGTATTCAATGTTTTACCCTAAACAAAGAGCAATGACATCAGAAACCATTGCGATGTACATCACTATTCTTTTATGACCCAGGAAGTCCACCCAAGAAGCTGCCTGCTCTTCCTTAATGGCAGGTGGAGCAACAGTGGTGCTCTAAGCAGCTGTTGTCAATACTTGATGAATCATAAGATTAAATCAGATCTTATCTAAAATCTCAGTTGTACAGGGAACTCTCACAAGACAAGAATGTCTGTGAAGTAAGACCACAGCCTTCAAACCTAAAATGTCTCTTAGATTTTTAGAATAAAAACCTTTTATGCAAAGCAAGATCTTTTAAACTGCATCTAGTTAAGCACCTGAAATCCCTTGTCAAATTTGAATACACAGGTCATCATCTTTAGCCAGGAAATGTACATCTACTCTATACAAATGCAAATACACTAGCAAATTTTTCCAATTAGAACAAACTGTAAAAAGTGAGCTATTTGAATTAACTCAACACTGAATTTTAACATCTTGTTTCTAAGTGTTATCAACAGGTCTGGATCTCTTGGATCTTAGTGAACCTGTCTTACAAACCCAAAACAAAGCAAAGAAATCAGAGAATCCATCAAGAAGTGAAGGCTTAAAAGCTTCAACCCACAGAAAGAAGACAGACAATTCTGACCTTATCAGTGTGGATTCTGAGCAGAAAGTCCAGACTGTCAGAGTTTCAGACAAGTCCTCACTAGATTTAGGTAAGAGTGTAGCTATTTTGTCAGTGCTACATAGCCTTGCTTAGCACGAGCTTCTCCTTTGCTATCGCAAAACAATGAGCAACACCAGAACTTCTATTCCACTGCGTTTAGCAGGCAGTGAAACTTTTGTTCTACATCAAAAACTACTTGAAACACCATCACTAAAAACACATTTTGCTTTTGCCTTTCCCATTGTATCTGTTGTCACTAAATGTGCAAATAAAGTTGTGGATTCTTTCTAAAAAGAATTAATCAGCCTCAGTAAAATGGTAGAAAAATGTATAGGGTTATAATGAGAGACTGGTAAAGGACACAGCTCAGAGGCAGCCCATACTGGGTGCCCTTTTTCAGACTGCAGATGTCAGAAATACACAAGATATTTGTCAATAGTGCTTTATCCATTTATATAAGATAAAAAAAAATTAAAAATCCATTCTTGACAAAAGAGCTATATTTGTACAGACTGTAAAAAGGTCCCAAACAACTCAGTATCCTGCTGAGCATGATCTATAGATGAGCTTTGAAAAAGGTGAATTTAATTTAGTTCCATCTGAACTAAATTACTTGCACCACAGCTGAGAAATTTGAAAGGTAAATGTAATTTATACTAAGGTAGCAAATTTTCCATTCATCAGCACAGAAACTTTTTTAGAGAACTTTAACTTCAAACAGGAGCTGAACATTTGATTTTGCAAAACAACTCCAACATTTGACTGCAAATATCTATTGCCTACACAGTCATTTTAAAATAATAGTCACTAAAAGATGTTGTGTTTTTAATTTTTTTTTCTACTATTAGGAGATAAAAACTACCCAAAACTATCAAATGTTTAGTGTCTTTTTCTTAACATGTTTAAATTATATACAAATCTTTGATTTAAGTCAAGAGTTCCACTGACATTCTGACCATGAATGCTAAAGATTTAGAAAAATGTTGTGAATGACCAAATATTTTCACAGAATATCAGCTGTAAAGATGCACAAAACTTATGTATATTGACCCTGAACTAAAATACAGGCTGTGGAGGCACCATTTTCTCCAGAACCTACATATAACAGAGGAGATAAAACTTTCTGCAGTAGATTCTCTAGAAGATTTGTTTGTTGTTTTGTTTTGTGTTTTTTCTTTTGTTTTGTTTTTTACTTATTTTTCAGTTGATATTCAGACACAGCTAGAGAAATGGGATGACATCAGTTATCATGGAGACAGGAGTAGCAAGGTCCACCCTTCTACAGAGAGAGGATCATCATCATCTAGAGCTCCATCAAAAGAGCTTTTATGGTACAGCTTTTTGCTTTACTTACAAAAAATATTTCCAGTCCAGCTCTCTAATTCACAGAAAGGCTCACTTGATGAATAATGATATTATTAAATCTGTTATGATCACATCAAATGTGTTCAAGCAGATATTTTGGACAATGTACCATAAACAAGTACATAATAAAGTGACATTTTGCCAGCAATTTTTAATGCCAAAAAAAGCAGCTTGTGCAATTACTAAAAAAATAGTGGTGAGAATTCTGCAGAGGTACATGGTGATCCAAAACTGACTAAAAACATGTAAGTAAAATGAGTAAAAAGGATACTTGGCAGAGATTTGGCAGTCACTGGCCAGCCAGTGTGTTTTGTTTTTTGCTACCAAGAATGCAGAATTTCTGTGGTTAACTGGAAGTGGGAAGATAAAATATCCAAACAAGTACTGCTTCTTTTGTGCAGTTCAAGTAAATTGCAGGAGATACAAATGAAGGAAGAATTGGACTTTGTCTTTGGAAACAGTTTGGGTAGATTAATTCTGCTGCCTCTTGATTTGTAAACAATGCTCATTCACTACATTATATGTGATCACAATTAGCATTTTCATATGCTAGAAGCAGCTTTCTGATCAAATGATACTTATTGTGTATCTTAACTGGTCCTTTAAGTGTCTCTTTCAGTAACTTAGAGCTTTACACAACTTTTGGTCATTTAACTCAATTTTGATCTCCAAGATTTAATTTATAGGAAGAAAGGATATAATGGATATTATGGATATCAAGGCACAAAAATGCACATATGCCAAGGTGCAGTCTTGTAAGGTGGTGGTTGATTCTTAGGTACTGACTACAGGCACAGCCTCATGTCATTGCCTAACCTCATTTTGCCTGGCTATGAAATAAAAGCAAAATCTTCATTCCATTATATTAGTTTCATGCCAATAGATGCCCAGGGCTCTACTGGTGACTCAGGCCTGACTCTTCTGCTGTGTTAACTGTTGTCTGCATGTGCCTCAGAAGTATAAGAGTTAACCCTGAGAAGGGTCCAGGTACTTTTGATAATTGCAAGTTAAACAATCGAGTTAAAAGAAATGAGCTAATTAATCAGTATGTGCTTAGGAAGCTGAAAGACATAAGGCACTGTGTATGAGTCTGCAGTGGTTAGTTATGCAAACACATCATTTCTAGGTCCACAGAAAACAGATCACAGTCTGAGCTGGCCAACGTCGTCAAGGGTGCCTTGGACTCTGAGTCAACATCAGAACTAGAACTTGCTCCTGCAACACAGGTAAGAGGGTTTGGTAGATTTATTAAGAGCAAAAAGGCAAGTAGGTATTGTCCCACTGGCTAACCATTCACATTGTAGAAGAACTATTTAAGGGATATTTTCAGAATCACCAGTTAAAAGATTCAGACAGCCAAATCTTCACACAGCTTCCAAAGTAATATTTTATGAAAATAATTATGTCAGCATCTCCAACATTCAGAGTGAAATACTGCAGTGAACTGGGACCTTCCTTCACAGAGAGAAAGACTTCAAACTACGATTTTTAGCATCATTTTTTTTTCCTTTCCTGCTGTTCTGAAATTCAAAATGGTTTCCATCTCCCTGTAATACACCTCAAAGTCTCTTGGTCAACCAGGAATCCCCAGAATTGGGAAATAGCTAAGGAAGCATAGAACCATTAAACCAGCATTTGTAAGCAGGTTTATCTCCACAGGTGGGAGAGCAGTGTGGTCAAAGGACTTTTTCCTGCTGGAAATACAGAGGGCTCTGGGCTGAAATTTTGTCTTTGCCCAATTCCACTGTCATATTCTATGTTGGACAGGACCGTGATTACTTAGGTTTTATGGGTTTAGATATTTATGTATGCATATATATATACATACAAATTTCTATATGCATTCACATGGGTCAGGTTGCTCACATACCTTCTTTCTTGCTTATTTTTTAAGTGAAAGATTTCAAGTTCTGCTGATGCCACTGGCAGGGGGAAGAGAGAGTTGTTTGGTGGGTTAGCTTTTAGTCGAAAGTAATTTTCTCCTGTTCCACAGCTATTTTTAGGTCTGGACTTCAAAACCTTTCTGTCAGATGGAAAATCTGGAAATTAATGAAAAATAATAGCCTCATTTAAAAATTGAAAAAATGAGAGACTAAAATGACAAATGTCCTTCCTAAGATTATGCATCAGTTTTTGCAGAAAATGGAAAAAGAACCCAGTTATCAGGATCCATTCCTGAATTGTGGTTAGGAAAAAGTCTCCTGTTTCCCTTCCATCTTTACATCATGAACAGGGTTGGTTTTTTTTCCCTTTGGAAGGCCTAGCACTAATTGTAATGCACGATATCTTTCCTTTCTGTGCAATAAATCTATACATCTTAGTAATGGAAAAGATCTATTGCACAATAACATCCACTTGAGACGGAGGGTGTGTTTTCACATACTTGGTCCATCTTAAGTACATTTAACCCCTTTTTATGAGGCTGTTCCTCAGTCTAAGAGATCAAAATGCCAGGAAGTTTGTGCTTAAGCAAGATGAGTGTAAATCAAGTAGACAGTCACAGAATTTAATTCTGTGGCTCTCTGTAAAGGCAGTTACAAAACTTAGTATGTAAGATCTCTACTTTATATGCTCTGTTTCCTGTTTATCTTTCAGGAGAATGAATTCAGAACCAAAAATCCACATTTTTAATTCAGGATAGGTTCAGTCAGTTGAAACTCCATCATATTTTGTAAAATTACTGGTATTTCCAAATAAAATAATGTGAAGTTGAATCAACCAACTTGAAAAAGAAGCAGACTATAAAATTCTTCTCTGTAATTCTGGTATATTTCATGTTTTTTGAGTTTTATCATAAGCAGCTTTTTTCAAACTTGTGATCCATTCAAATATAAAATGTTGTTAAACTGTTAATTAGTAATGCAGGGAAATGACCTGAAGTGAGATTGTGTCCTTATTCTATGTAGTTTCCTTAAAAATTTAGTATTTTAATTCACTGCCTGCTCATCCTGCTTATGCTGCAACTGCCAAGAGTTATCAGTTCCCAACAAACAGACTCATCTGTCTTGACTGAGTTCTTAATCTCCTTGTAAAAGAAATCACATTAGAGCTTTTATCAAAGCATATGTCTTCCACACTTTGTCCTCTATAGATCTTGTCTATCTCATTTAAGGGTAACCTTTGCATATGCAACAGATTCTGCAGTACCCTAAAGATTTCACCTTGTCAAACTTGCTGCAGTTTTCCATCAGCAGTTTCTCACCTTCATCATTCGTCTTTGGTAGGATAATTTAGTTCATCAAAGTGAAATACTAAGTAACTAGGTCATATTTTCATTAAAATCATGCAAGCTTCTTAGCAAAATCCTGTGTTTACCAGCACTTATGCCAATAAGAAATCACAAAGACAAGCTCTGAATTCATAAGGAAGCAATGTGTCTGAAGGCTGGAATGGGCAATAGCTTGGTGGCTGTCACAGGATATGACCATCTTGCTTCTCAGTATTCCACTCACATTATACATTACCTATTATTAACACTTACACTGCACTGGCCCAAAGTATCTTTGTTCTTTCTTTCATTTGCCATTCTGGAAAGTAAATTGTTATGCTTTTAGCAGTAGTGAAATATCCTGCAGTGTTTAGGCTTTCTGAATGTTTAATTTTTCTCTTACAATTACAAACTGCAGAGGGAGATAATGTGTTCAAATGTATATGCATAAAGTCTGCTCATGTTTTAACTCTCTAAATGCCTTTTAGATGCTTTATTGCTCACTTAGAGTGCATACACAAAGAACATGACATGCTGAAAAACCTTCTATAATTCTAGTATCATTCCCCACTTCTCCCAAGTAGATACAGTAATAAGACCCCAGCTCTCCTTGGGCAGTGCCAGTCACTCCAATGAAATGAAGCTACAAGGGACAGATTTAGCTCAGTATTTGAAGACCTGCTGAAAAGTTTAGACTATAATTTAAGCCTCTCACCAACAGTTAAGGTCCAACAGCACATAAGCAGACTTCAGGCTCAAGAAAGTGTGTGCAAATGCATTAGAATGGAAGATTTTGTTTCCTGAAGACAGCAGTCAGTGATCAGCTACAGCACCTTCATTGTAGAGTGGTGAGCATATCAAACCATGGTGTATGCAGAGTGTCCATGCCTCAGACACACCCATTCCACCCTGACCCACACCCCAGCTTAAGTGAGGCAGCTGCCAAGTCCCACCCCATCACCTGCTGGAGATGAGAGGTTCTCCAGCACCGGCCTTCCATTCCCATCCCCTCTCCTCATGCACTAGCAAAAGGCAGGATGCTTGTTAGATGCCTTTCATTTCTGGGTATCACAACTCAGAATATGACCCTACATTGTCTACATGTATTACTTTTTTCTCCCTCTGGAGGAGGGCAGGTGTGTTTGTAAGGGGGAAGAGGGTGTATTTCTGTGGGGATTATGCTCTGACATGTAACAGAGGCAGGGACTTCTGTGTTTCTTGCCCTCTTCCTACTCACTTCTCTACTGCCTCTGCAGGCTCACTCTCCCCTCCTGCAGTACTACTCAGTCTGAACACAATGATTTACATTATTCTCCTTGACCTGAGGAAATTGCAGTCACTGGAAACAAAGGATTAAAAAGCAGAAGTAATCAAATGCTTTCCAAGAGCCAACTTGTAAATAATAAAAAGGCTAGGAACATAATTAAGGTCTATGAGCAGAGTTTTATGTCAAGAAAACAGAAATTAATTCTTTGATCAGATTGTAGGTTGGGTTCATAAATATTGCTGTGTGATATTCTGCAAGATGTTTGAATGAACATACCATATTCTGATTTTCAAATTAGCACCATACACTATGAATAAAGCAGCTGTTAAACAGATTGAAACTGGATAACACCTTCTCAATGTAGTTAATAACTAGGAATTATAATCACATGAGAGTTCTTCAGTGATTCCAAAGAAAAACCATGATCTTCAGTATTATTGATCTGAAGATAAATGTGCAAGCCATTCCTAATAAAATTTCTATATGATGCAACAGTGGAATTTAAAAAGTGTAACTAAAAGAGTCATTAAAAATGAGCTGGTGACCAAGGCTTCTATAGAAATACATTTTCCAACACAGTTGCTTGAAAAAACATACATTTCAGAACAAGAATGCAGGCTGTACAACACTGTGCTGGAAGGTAATTTGAAAGGAATCTATGGCTGAGAGTGTATAAGAATGTCAGCAGAGTGCTCCCTGTGCTGTACTGTGGCAAGAAGAGCATGTAGAAGTAGACTTAATTGGTGGGATACAGGAGATCACCTGATTTTGTACAGAGCAACAACAAGACAGGTATTGGAATCCAGGATTCACTTTGGTTGACTGTATGGCTATTAAAAAATAAAGTATGAAAAACAAAAAAGAGGGAGAATAAAAGACAGAAAAATGGTCAAAATCTGAATAAAATGCCTCATAAAGAGAGAATTTAAGATCTCAATCTCTTTATGTCATGTAAAAGACAATTAAAACCCAACTAAAGCCATCAGTATCTTTCCACAGAGAAAATAAGGGATACTAAAAAGTTCTTTACACTACTGGAAAAAGAAAATAAGAAGTGATAGTTGGAAACAGAAATTAAAAGTAATAAGAGAAACAAGGAGGCAAATTAAACAAATTTGCAAACAAAGTGATAAGATTAAGGTCTCCTGATAACTTTAAATTAAATCCAAGCAGCTTTCTCAGACACATATTCCAGACAACCTCAATTTATTCTCTGTGGAACGTCAGTTTTATCCTGAGGATACGGAGTAAAATACTGTCATGTGATATACAGATAACCAGATGATTTGAACCAGTTATCTCTTCTTCCCTAAATTCTATTAATCAGTAAAACAGCTGGTTTATGTATAGGGTTGGGTTTTGGTATGTTTTCATTACAATCTCAAATCTCTTCCTGACCTTGCCAAAGAAAAAATAATATTTTTCAAACACAGACCAGAGGTAGTTGATGTGAAAGCAGAACACAGAGATGGTGAGTGTGGCCTTTCCCTCACACTCTGCACCTCAGTCACTTGCAGCAAAGCCCAGAAGCCAGCAGAGAGCACACCCAGTGCCTCCACCCATGCCCTTCTCACAGGAGTTTTGCTGAATTATTCTTTTCTAACCGTGTCTCTTTAACCCAACATACTTTTCACTCATCAACCTCTACCTAAGAGATAAAAAAAACTCAGGAAAACAGTGAAACTTCAGGTCTAAGACTGAGAAACAAATGTGATCTTTCTAGGTAAAAACCCATGTACCTGCAGGTGCCTGTGCTTGAGCACACCTGGCATGGTGCTTGCATGTACACCCAGGGGTGTTTGGGGTGTTTCATCCCAGCAGTGAACATTCCAACACTGCAGATACAGCCCAATGAGTCTGAAGTGAGTAAAACAGGTGCTTTAGCAACATGGCACATTGAAATTGAATATTACAAGTACAGTCATCAGCAATATAATTACATTAATTTAAGCAATTGGGACCACGGTCAGGCAAATGGTTAATGAGTTTAACCTCTAACAAACACAAGGGAAGGGATTAGCAGTCAGAGCTCTGTTTAGCAAGATAGGTCACTTTTGTGTTTTTCTATGCTGTCACTGAATACTGTTTGGTTTTGCACTGTGCCTTTTGTAAAAAAAAACAAAAACAAACAACAACAAATAAAATACCAGGAAGAAACTTGTTAGGTACTTCCAATGTGATCAGCTGATAGTGAGGCATGGAAGAGACAGCTTCTGGTCCTAAAAAGGGTTTGTCGCTTCAGTGAAATCCATGGCAAACCTGGCTCTCCAACGTGACCCCAAAGAAGGACCTGAAAGAAAAACACAAGATGTACAGGGAAAATGAGATGCTTTCTTCCTGGAGCATAGTGAGTGGAGGAACAAGTAAGGTAAAAGTCTTATACAAAACAATCAGACAGCTTTTCCCTTTGTAGCCCAACTCCTGCATTGTCTTTTCTTGAATGTCTATTTATCTTTCACACATCTGGAGTGAAAAGTCCAGAAAAGATGAATTACTCTGCTTTCCATGGGGAATGATCTCTGTTACACTGTACAAGAATTCAGAGGAATTAATGCAAGGACACAACTAGTTTTGCCCAAGAAAATGGCCATTTGAGGCGCTAGGCAATTAAGGAAATAACTCAGGAGATGTGGCAGAGAGTACAACATCCCTTTCTGATTTATTGTATTTTTTAGGCACGATCAACTAAGGAGCAGCGTTGGGGAGGGCCTCTTCTCTCCAGAAATCACTCCTTGGAGGAGGAATTTGAAAGAGCAAAGGCAGCTGTTGAGGTATTACTTCATTTATCGTTTTCATTTTCAGCTACTGTTCTATGGATTTCCTATTCATCTTGCAGTACAAGTACAGGGGAAAGTTGGAACTGGATTATTTAAAGCAGGTAAGAGATATGTTTTCTGGAGTTACTAATTTAAAACAAGACAAAGATACCTCATACAACAAATAAATTAAAAATCACCAAAACTTTAGCTGTAAGTGAAGATTAGACAGAACCAGCTTTTCAGCTCCATTTTGTATTGCTATAGCAAGTTGAAGAAGCAAAATTCCCTATAAATATAAGTACTTCTGAACTGAAAGTATAAGAGTGAAACATGTTTTTCCCAGCCACTGAATGTTTGCAATCAGTTATTTAAGCTCAGATGCAAACCAGCTCTGCACAGTGAAACTGCCCGTGCAGCAGCCACCATGCAGCAGAGCATTAGAGCATTACTGGTAGCAGCTAAGCAAATGAGGTCAGTACTTCTGCAATTGCCAGAAGACACGTGTGTGTGATGGGGAGTTCCCAGGCACCCAGCTGAGAGAAAAAAATTACCTGAGGCCAGCAGTGGATTCCAATATATGATTGAATTAGAGTAAGGAGGAGAATATATTGCAAAACCCATCCCCTGCCCCAGCACGTTAAAAGGTCATTCTGGCAACAAAGGACAGGTTATTAAAATGCTTTAATGTAGTCTCAAAAACACCTATTAAAATAAACTAATTGTTTCCCTTACTGTGCACCTGAAAGGCTTAAAATATTTTTTCTGCTTAAAATAGAAAAAAAAGAAAATAAAAACTTGGACCAGCTAGTTAAAATATAAAGGGAAGGATTCTTCAGGGCCTTATAGAGGAGTTATTTGCATTTGCATATAAGAAGTGTCGAATTTTCATTTTAGCTAAAATGAAGTGGTTAGAAAGCTGGAGTGATTGAAATAAATTGCAGCCCATCTCAGAAAGATTAGTGCTTCCTCAAGTGGAGAATGGATGCAATTCAAAATTTCACCTTTTAGGCTTTGGATGCTTCTGTAATATTCTTTAAATGGGAAAGCTCCAAGAGGAAAGAGTTTTAGCCATAAAACTGATTAAGAAAAGGAAGCAAATCTCAGGTTCTTTGTGGCCTAGTTTGAAATGAATTAATTAACAATTCAGTAAATGAAGACACCAAACTTTATCCTCCACCCAGTATTCACTTTAGAGCTTTGGGAATGGTTTTAAGATGTCAAACTTTGAGATTAATGAAGATCTGTGAGGTAATTCTTTCTTAAGAAGGTTTAATGTCTATGCCATAGGGGAATCTTTTAAGAATAAGGAGGTAAGTATATTAGCTTCTTTACCAGAGAGGGTCCAGATTTACTTGCAGTGACTGGGTGCTTGCAGACCTGCCTGAATTTTCTGTCATTTTGGAAACTGGATTTGATTTTTGCCTCATCCCTTTGCTATCCATGTGAGGGAAGCACAAATAGCCTATAGGCCTCATTATTTTTAACTACCATACCAAATCTATTTTAATGGAATCTTTCTAAAAATTACCTGTGTTTTACCCAATAATTGGTACTTAAAAAAATGTTTTTTAAAATGCCAGCATGGGGCTCTGTATCCATCCTTTACCCATGTTCAGTTAAAATGATTGTTTTATGCTCCACCATCCTATAAATAGTGAGCTAGAATAAATAAAAATGAAAACATACAAAAACTTCCAAGCGAGAAATGTCTCAGAGATGGAAAAAAAAGCAATGTTTGTATTTTTGTATCCCACATTTCCCTGATGCAGACAGTAAACTGCAGATCTCATCTCCGGGTGTGAATGATTCATGTTTGTTTTCTAGTCCAAAAAGGAACGTTGCAGGTACCTCCCCAGATCCAATAACTGCATAAATCAAACAATTCTGAGTCTCCTGGAGAAAGGAGGCACATGCTACAGCACGAGCCAAAGGGCAATGCCTGTCAGATTTCCAGAGGGAATGCACCTTGGCATTTGTGAAGAGCTTTAGGCTTTATAGCAACCACACCTACTGTTAGCCAGTGCAAATCCTCCTAATCCTTCACACCTAGTCTCAAATGTGCTAATTACCTACTCACTCTAGATGTGTTCATAGTCTGTGCTTTCCTTTTTCCAAGTTCCTGAGAAGAAGTCATCCAATCACAGACTAAGCTCTGTTTTAGCTAATCATGCCTGGCTGTGGAGCAGTAGCAAAGTGGTCAGTCTTGTAAGGAAGATTCAGACAAAACAACCTGAAGCAGTTGATAATACCTTCAGTTAATTTTGTTTAGCACCTCACTTTGAAATGGCTCTATCTAAACTTCAATAGAATTATTTGTGTTCTTGTCTTTGGTTCCCTCATTCTGGTCATTACATATCCTAAATCTCATATTTTCATAGTTTCTCTTGTATATGTATTTTCCCCTCTTGTCTTTGAGCTGAGTGTTAATCTTACATTTTTATAATCTCTGATAGATTCCTCTCACTGGCACAGCATATGGTGAAATATTAGGATTTCTCCACTATGCCAAAAGCCCCATTGGTATTAATTCTCCTTTGTAAATCCTCTCTGCCTAAGCTTTGCCATTACTCTTTTACATAATAGAAAATTTTGCTGAATCTATCAGAGAGGGATGTCTAAACTCTCTTTTAAACTGTTTTATCTATTGTTATTCTTTAGCATTTATGCATGGTTGTTTTTCTTTCTCCTTTCCTCCCTTTCATTCCTTCATCCAGGGAGCAGCAGCATTCATTGCCTTCAAACTTTATGTAGCAATTTGCTGTTAAGTAAGATGCAGTGCAAACTGCTGCAAATCCTGCTTCAAACAGAACACACCTCTGAGACAGAGTTTTCTCTTGACAAACCACATTCCAATAGAAGAAGTGAAAATTAATTATATGTCATTCCAAATTTGTGCACTAGTATTTCAGCATGATTATTAACAGAATTAATACTGTTCAGCTAAATTGCCCTACTGAGACCACTGGCAGAAAGAAATTAAAGGCTTATAATTTTATTTTAAAGTTTTGTTGTTTATTTTCTTCCTTTTTTCCCTCTTTTTCTTCTAGTCAGACACAGAATTTTGGGATAAAATGCAAGCAGAATGGGAAGAAATGGCCCGCAGAAACTGGATTTCAGAGAACCAGGAAGCACCAGGGCAAGTCACCATCTCAACCATCGAGAAGGTAGCACAGAAGTTTTTGAATACAGTACATCCTTCTTGTGAAACTTTGACAGGAACCTCAACTGTTCAAGGGAACTCAAGAAAACTCTTTGGACATGGAAACTAATTTTACCCAAAAGTGCTCAACCTTTAAGTGTTAATGAGAAGGGTAGATTTAGAAGACCTTACCACAGTAGGAATATAGTTAGACTTGTAAACTGCCTGAGTTCAGCTGCAAGAATCATGGAGTCAACTGCTGGATTTTGGGCCTTTTTGAAGACAGGCACTTCAGGATGAGAACCAAATAAAAAATCTGGGCAGTCACTTTGAAACACTGTTGAGGATAGAAATGGTAGAGATTCTCTCTCTTTTCATTCCCTACATTCTCTATTTTTATTTAAACTATGCAGCTTATATTAGCATACAGCACTTACAGTGACAAGCAGTTCCATTGCAGTCACAGCAGTGACAAGAAGAGGAAAAGGCAAAATTTAAAGAAATCTTAAAATAAACTCAGGTGCTTACAATACTGCTCTGTATCTTGGAGGTTAATGAAAGATTTTAGGTTAGGAAGACTGCAGGAAGTCAGCTGCTTGATGTTTGCTCTTTAACATCAAATTGAATGTACTGAGCTCATGCTAAATTCAGTTCTGCTGTTAGTGCAGCCAGTGTGAGTTGCCAGTATCTCTAATAGGAGATAGGAGCAGGAGAGCCCAACATGAGTACCAGTAAGTGTAACTTCAGAGCTATGAAAAAACAGAGAGCAGAACCATAAATGTTCACTGATGCTGACTTTTTGTCACTGAAACTTGATGGGTGAGCTCAGACTGTTTTCACAGAACAAAGAATGTTTACATCCAGTTGGAAAATAGTGAGTCATTTAATTTTATAGACTTGCCATTCCCTGCTTCAGTGCTTCATCATGGGTCTATTATCTCTCCTCTCTAGGGTTATTATTTCCATACTGAGAATCCCTTCAAAGACTGGCCTGGTGCTTTTGAGGAAGGAGTGAAAAAAATGAAAGAAGGTGACCTGCCAGTTACAATCTTATACCTGGAGGCTGCTATTTTACAAGAGCCCAATGATGCAGAGGTATTTACTCATGTGCTTTTTACTCATAAAAGAAAAAGGAATTCCCTTTAACATGCAAGGATGGAATGATTTTGGGGCCCAAACCTTTGCTAGTCATGACTGACTGAAACAGCTTGAACCCTAGTGGTGGCTTTGGAAGAGTCTATGCCTTGAAATAGATAAAGGTGAGCTCTTCATGAGCTGAGAATGTTTTTGAAATCATAACATTTCCAAACTGTCATTTAAAACAATCAAAAGCGATGAGATCTCAAGCCTTTCCTTCTTGTCCTGATGTTTTAAACTATCTTTTAAATACTGCTATTGAAAAGGTGAACATTTTTGATACAACAAGACTGTTGGCAATTTTTTTTTTAAGTTATCTCAATTTCTGCAACATTGATGGTTTAAATTACTATATATTTAAAGACTGTTTTCTGTGAAAAAATGAAAAATAATTACAGTGTAAGTCTCTCTGAATCTATAGCTGCACTAAATTAAGAAGCAGTATCTCAAAAAGCAGAGAGAATTCCCAGATTCTCTAGAATCCCTTAAGCCTGAAGAACTTGATAATTTTTCTTCACCTTTCTCCATAAAATTCTAGCAACACTTAAAATGCACAGTAACTCAAATTTAAGAAATCAGCATGTGATCATACACTGGCAGAATAACTTTGCACTCATTGATTATAAATACTATCAGGCCAAAAGATAATCAAAACTGCATTGACTGGCACTGTTTGTATGCACCTCGTAGAAGTATCTGTAGTTACTGCTGGACAGATCTGCTATTTTTATCCACCCTACTGCTTCACAGTGATATGAGTTGTGACTCTGCTTGCAGTTGGGTATATATAACAAAATAACACAATGATGATTATTTTTGCAGGCCTGGCAGTTCCTGGGCATAACACAGGCAGAGAATGAAAATGAGCAGGCAGCCATTGTCGCCCTCCAAAGGTAGATGGAGATAATTGCTAAATAAGGGGTCTGATGAGTATTAGGTGATGGTGGACCAAGTATATTTAACATCATACTTACCCTGTAATGTGACATTTATTCAACTCAGTAAACCATAGACATAGATACAGAAATCTTCCCAGTGACTTCAGAGGTTTGACTAATGATTGATATTTCTGTTTTATGAAAGAAATGCAATATTTATTCTAGCAATTTGAGCAGTTGCACAAAATAAAAGTGGCATGGTCTGATAAGCATGAATTAGGTATGATGCAAATAAAACGCCTTTTTTATATTCTAGCCACTTATCATATTTTCTGTAGTTTGTTTATTAATGAAGAGGTTTTCTTAATTGGAATGAGCTCCCTTCAGCTGCTGAATGCTAAACTGACCACACTTTGAGGTTGATAAAGATGTGAAGATCACTGCATGCTTCTGTGTAAAATGTCAGCTCCAAAATACCAGCATTAGTATCATCTTTCTGTAGTGCGTTTTCATGTTCCCATTTGGAGCAAGTACCCTCTCCAAATTCAGTTGCATCAAGCAATGTTAACCATCAAGTCATTTCACCTAAGGGTGCTCTAACTTATTTATATGTATCTTATTATCTTAGCTGGATAGAAAACCAAGGAGTTGCCCAATTTAGGGCTTGTGTATCCCCACAGTTTTGAAACAAACAACAATGATGTTCACAAAACTGTTTTCAGTTAATGACACACAACTATAAAAGGACCACTGGAGTTGATTTGCTTCAGCTTTATCAAAGAAAAACAGAAATCAGGATGTCTGAGAAGATTCACAAGGGATGCAAGAAATTTTGCCTTCAAAATGCTTTTTTGTCTAGCTGCAAACCATATTAAACTATTCACTTGAATTTACATAAATCTTGTCTTTGTTTATAAGACAGCTACTATACAAGAGACTCTACCTACATTTATTTGTAACCAGAAGGATGGTAACAAATCTTGTATGCATATATTTGTCTACATGTGTCTCTGCAATGTGCATGTACTTGTCTGTTTATGCACATGTAAAATGAACTTCTCACAGAAAAATAAGACTAAGGCCCTTCTTTAAGAGAGTTATTTGGTAGATCTTGGTTGTTTTTTTTCACGGATTATTTTGGAAGAATTCAAGAGCTGTGTTTGGCTAAATAAATACCTCAATATGTTTTTATTTTCTGCCTAGGTGCTTGGAACTACAGCCAAATAACTTAAAAGCTCTGATGGCCCTGGCTGTAAGTTACACGAACACTGGCCATCAACAAGAAGCCTATCAAGCTCTAAGAAACTGGATAAAGCAAAATCCAAAATACAAGTATATCACAAAAAGTAAAAAAGGATCCCCAGCACTTACCAGGAGAATGTCCAAGACATCAGATGAAAGGTAAAGGTGCTATAAATCCTGATGGTGCAAATTTTAATGGCATCACTAGAAATGATGGTGCATGCTGTGCCCCCTGACTCCACAGAAGTCCAGCCTGTTCCCTATGATGGAAGAGTCAATGTCTCTAGTGGCAGAAGTGGGAAGTCAACACAGGACATGAGGTTCAGCTGCTGAAGGCTGTATCTCATGCCATCCTTGGAATTCAAGAAAACTCAACAAAACAGCTAAAAAGAGATGCTTCCCCCCAAGTCTCAGCACTTTCCTCTCACCTTGTCTCCTGTCCATATTCCTACATCCCACATCCTCATTTTTCAGCTGCTTCCAAATCCATACCAGGCCTGTATCCTGCTCTGCACGTGTGTGTTCTTCCTGCTGTTCAGAGTTCCTATATCCCAACAAAGCCACTTGAATCCATGAATTATATTAATTTTGCAGCAGGATATGGCTTCACTGAAAATACTGGGAGGTAACACCTGTTTAAAAGCCATTCTGGTTCTAACCAAAGAGACAGTCTAGTAGTTTTCTCTGACTTCAGCCTTGCATCCCGTAACAGAGGTAGCAGCCATTTCAAATAACAAAAAAAATCACAATTTGGCAGCCCTTTGTCATGATTTCATAAGGTTTATGTATCTCTGAATTGTGAGATGCATGATAAAGTCAATAAAGGCATAAACATGATTTACAGAACTACAACACTAGGGCTATCTCACTGCTTATCATTTTGAAGACAGTCCTTATGTTTTACCCTTATCACTAACCAGTCTTGAGTTGATAAGATAATCTAATAGAAACTCACACAAAAAAGCATGTTCTGCTTCATTGCCAAGCGTGTTATTCTGCTTCGGTTTCATCCCACTGACATCTGATGTTGTCAGTGGAAAGGTATTATTAACTCTACAGTGGGTACAGAAGTCTTTAATTTTGGCATCTTTCTTTTAGCCTTGGCTAGTCACTTGATCTCTTACTCTTAAAAATAACTACTAGTTTTGCCAATAAAGAACTGTTCTGTCTGAAAAATTAATCGAATGTTAATAGTTTTAATAAGCCTTCATGTTATCTCACTTGGGTTCATAGATGTATTTTGACTTCATAAAATCATTTTGGTTGGAAAGGACTTTTAAGATCATTGAGTCCAACTGTTAACCCAGTGCTGCCAAGTCCACCATGTCCCCAAGCACCACATCTACAAGTCTTTTAAATATTTCCAGGGATGGCGGCTCCACCACTTCCCTGGGCAGCCTGTTCCAGTGCCTGACAATCCTTTCCGTGAAGATACTTTCCCTAATATCCAATCTAAACCTCCCTTGGTGCAACTTGAGGTCATTTCCTCTTGTCCTGTCCCTTGTTTCTTGAAAAAAGAGACCCATCCTCCCCCCTCGCTACAACCTCCTTGAGGCATCAGAGAGTGATGAAGTCTCCCCCCAGCCTCCTTGTCTCCAGGCTAAACAATCCCAGTTCCCTCAGGTGCTCCTCATAAGACTTGTTCTCTTCCTTACAGTGGTGATTTTTTTTATTCCAGACGTGAGTTCTCAACAGCACCTGAAAGTGAATCTTTGCCATGATAAAGTTGAAGCAGCTTATTTTTAAATTTTAGGAGTATATGACTTCTGATACTTTCTGGCTTTGCCACACATGTTGCAATATTTGTAAACAACCCTAAGATAGAACTTTAAGTTATTTTTCACCCATTTCTAGCTCATTACTTGAAGAAGTAAAGGATTTGTACCTGGAGGCTGCTCACCAGAATGGTGATATGATCGACCCTGATTTGCAGACGGGACTTGGAGTTCTTTTCCACTTGAATGGAGAATTTAACAGAGCAATAGATGCATTTAGTGCTGCTTTAACTGTTCGGCCAGAGGTACATTTTATGCTTTTACATTTTTAGGAATTTAGCTTTAGAAGCCATTTTCTTTCTCCCCTCTTAATCAGGTTAATATTAATGAGATGTCACTTCAGCCATTAAAATTTTAATACCTGAAATAGAAATGTGAATTACAAGACAGTCCCATTTAGAAGCAGATTTATACACATCCAGCTTCTAGCTGTGTGCTGATTAATTGTACCAGCTATATAAAGTTGCCTATAATAATGAGTGAGAACCTCACATTCCATGTCAACTAGAAGATACGATACTGATATTTCTGCAGTCCTCTTTACTTTGCAAGCAAAAATGGAGCTATCATGTCCCTTTTTGACACCTGCAATAGAAAACTCATTTTCTCACCAGGACTACACGTTATGGAACCGTCTTGGAGCAACTTTGGCAAATGGGGATCGAAGTGAAGAAGCTGTCGAGGCCTACACACGGGCTTTAGAAATACAGCCTGGCTTCATTAGGTCCAGATACAATTTGGGGATAAGCTGCATAAACCTAGGAGCATACAGGTAAGTTACAAAAATGCATCAACAAAAAAGTCATGGGTCTTAACTACCAAGTGAAAACTCATTTTCTAGCTGGAGCTAAGCAAAAAAAAAAATGCAACTAGTCTTATTACTATCAGATTGTTCTCATGCTTTAACTTAGTCCTATGCTTAATAGCTTTTCTAAAATAAAAGATAAAGGCCTGTCTTTAGAAGGGAGACTTCAGTTAAACTGCTTCAAGTAACTAATTCTGTCAAAAGACACTTTTCATACATGCTTCAGGAATCAAGGTTGATATTCCAGGGTCCCAACTGTCAGCTAAAGACTATTAAGATGAAGGGGAGCTACACAGCATTGAAGACAATATCCCCAGATATATTAGCTCTACTTTACAACACACCATGTCCACTTAAAGAAAATGAAGCAAGAATAACACAGAGACCGATGAACCCCATTGTAAAATATACTTAAGTCTAGAACAGAACTTTTAGAAAATTTTACTCTCATTGTTAAGCAAATTATATTGCTTGTTTCTTTTTTCTTCTCCCCTACAGAGAGGCTGTCAGCAATTTTCTCACTGCTCTCAGTTTGCAAAGGAAGAGCAGGAATCAACAACAGGTTCCCCATCCTGCTCTATCAGGCAATATTTGGGCAGCACTTCGAATTGCTCTGTCTATGATGGACCAGCCAGAACTATTTCAAGCTGCCAACGTGGGTGATCTAGACATTCTGTTAAGAGCTTTTAATCTAGAGCCGTAATAAAAAACATCTACAAATTGATTAAGTTGTACTAGGAAACAGAGACCTCTTTTATTACTCATCTCAAATGACCACATTTTCCAAAAGATCATGGCTGTAGATCAGTAGGGGAATTCTCCTGGACATTATTTGAAAAGGAAAAAAAAGTTCAAAAGCACAAAGTATTGTAAATAAATTCAAACTCCAACGATTGAAATAAACTGCGGCTAATCTGACAAAGCTCTGAAGTAGATGAGATAACCATTTCTGAAGAATCTTCATTCCACCCAAGTTGTATTTCTCTATATATGCACAGCTATAGAAAGAAAAATATATTAAGAACAAACCCAGATAATCATTATTGCACACTAGAGTGGCAAGCAATGCATCCAAGGAACCTGCTTAGTAGCTCATTGCACTTTGCTGACACCACTTTGCCCTACAATGTGGATTCCCCATCCTTTGGTTTCTTAGTTAAAAATTTCTCAAGGTCTGTTTTTAACATAGCTCTGAAAATAGATGCATGTAAAATTGATGTATTTTGTTTTGGATATATTTATTAGTTGTCACTCAAGAAAATTTTTGCTTCCAAAGGTACCTTGATTAATTTGGGCCCAATTCTGCAGGCTCATGGAATTGTAAATGATGTGCAACATTAAGAGGAACATTGTAAATTGAGACCACGTACAAAGAGAAGGTCAAGTGTTGCCAGAAGAAATGGCAATTTGCACTAGAATTGTTGTTTAAACCAGCTACCCCAAATCTAGGTCAGAGTGTGTCTGCTTCAAAGGAGCTCATAGCAGGATCTGCACTATGTACTTATGCACTTTAATCTTTATTTTTGTAAAATAGTGCTATGCTTTTATTTCAGTTACTAACACCAGAATGTATGGGATAGCCTCATTGGCATAAAGGACCAAATACCATTTCCTAAAATGTGATGAGAGGGTTTTCAAATATTCTTATGTTAAGAATGCAAATATAGTATAAACTGCAATACCTATTAGAAAGATTATTCTATTATGCATCCATCAGATACTACACACATACACGCATGTGCATGCACATACATGTTGTATGTGAATTATGACATTTCAGAACATAGAAAGCCACAGATATGTATTGCAAAAAAAGCCTTCATAGAAATGAATGTCTGCAAACCATGCTCAAGAGAAAATTTTCCCTGAAAAAAATTGTTCTATTTAATGCTTGTAGGATCAAAACTAAGATTTGATCCTGTCGTTACAGTAAGCAGAAGCAAAAGTCCCAGTGACCTCTGTCATGGCAGACGGAATCCTCAAATAGCATTGGTAGTTATAGCTGCTTAAAGATGGTGTTTATACACAATCTTCATGTTTCCTGATTGAAGGAACAGGGAACAGTATTGAGGGCAGTACACTGCCACATGATTAATGGTTAGATTTGGCCACAAACACATTTAGCTCAAGGTGAAGACAGGAATAGAATTTTTTTAAGGAAGTAATTTTCAGTTGCTGATATCTTAAATATTTTTCAAAAATAGTTGAAGATAAAAAGTGTAAATAGATGGCTGCTGTGTTGATCACCAACATGCAGGGTAGCTATTGGAATGTTTTTAAGTAGGACAAATAGCACATTTCCTATAAACAGCATTAAAGGAAAAATCCAGCTTGATCAGCTGGATAAAAAAATTGCAACTGCACAGATCACAGAGAAGGCAGCTCTGTGGGAATTGGACAGTTTCACCAGTACAAACCTAAAGTTTCTTGCAGCTGTCTGTTATTTTGAGCAACCACTTAAAGGAAAATTCCATGTAAGACAGCATAATCACTGCATCTAATCACCAACTACTGCTTGTTTAAAAAAAAACCCAAACATTAAAAAATGAAAGGCTTAACACTCT